CACCCCCATGGTGCCGCGGGGCTAAGGCAGGCTGCCCTGGTCCCATGCCACTCCCAGAAGCAGATGGCACCACATCCCTGCAGCCCCTGGGAAAGGGGGGGCCAGAGGGCTCTGCGCGATGCCCTCGCCTGCAGGCACCGCCCCCTGCAGCTCCTATTGGCTGGGAATGGGGAACTGCAGCCAATGGGAGCTGAGGGTTGTGGTGCCTGCAGGCGAGGGCAGCGCGCAGAGCCCTCTGCCTCCCCCCCGCCCCACGGGCCACAGGGACATGATGCCGGCCACTTCTGAGAGTGGCGTGGGGCCAGAGAAGGCAGGGAGCCTGCCTTAGCTCCGCTGTGCGCTGCTGCCACCCCTGAGCCACTCAACGTAAGCAGAACCAGGCTGGAGCATGCACTCTGAACCCCTTCTACACCCCACACCCCAACCCCCTGCTCTGAGTCTCCTGCCACACCCTGCACCCCTCCTGCACTCCAACCCCCTGCCCTGAGCCCTCTGCTATACCCTGCACCTCTCCTGTACCCCCTGCCCTGAGCCCCCTCCCGCACTCTGCATCCCAACCCCCTTCCCTGAGCCCCCCTGCCACACCCCAACTCCCTGCCCCAGCCCTGCATGCAATTTCCCCACCCAGATGTGGCCCTTGGGTCAAAAAGTTTGCCCACCCCATCTTAGCATATTTGTGGGAGATGAAAAACCACTAGTAAGATATCAAATATGCAACTCTCTACCAGACCCAGTGACTAACTTAATGTTATTCTAGGCCATCAGGAGAAAGAGAGTGGGACAAAAATCTTTGGAAGAAAATTTATTTCACTGAAAAAAAAATCACCTATTTTGAGAATTAAAATTTGTCTCAAAAAGTTCAGCATTGCAAAGACCTTGTGTGTGTGTTTGGTTTTTTTAAACTATGTTTTTATCCAAACTGCAATGAAAAGGGGGAATTGAAAACCTGACTTTGGCTGAAAATTTTGAAAAATATTCAAATCACAAGCCAGTGGGTCTGTTTCAAACACTGCATAATGCAAACTTCACGTTTTTGAATTTTTTTCCCACTTTTTCACCAGCTCTATTATCAAGGAAAAGTTGCATGTAAGGGCCCAGTCTTATAGTTCTTGCACAGGCGAAACTCCCTTTGACTTCAGTAAGCCAAACCTTTGAACCAGGAATAATTTGGGAGATCCAAAAAACAAAATAACAAAAACCACACCAGTCACCACTTTTCTAGAGATCGGCCTAACTCAACCCTCTGGATCCAGACCAACAGTAGAAGTCTTGTCATTCCACATACAGTGCTATTCTTGTGGCATTTCCAGTTCAAGCGGAAGCAAAAAGTGCTGGGCATTTCAGGGGGCAGCCTGGTCTCACAAACTTTCCATCACACTGTTCTGTAGATGTAAGAGATTCTGAATAATGATAATTAAAAATACTGGAGCCTCGGTCCTGGGGCAGGAGCTCGTTGTGCTAGGTGCTGTACAAACACAGAGCAAGACTGTTCCTGTACCAAAGAGCTTGTAATCTAAGTAATAAAGTTTTGATGAGCCTCTGCACTTTTGGGTGGCTATTTAAACCAACCCACCTCTTGGAATCACATCCACCAATAATACCTAAGGGAAACACTTAAACGCTCTTTGCTGTCAGTATTCCCCAAACTGAAGCTACACTAATGGGTAACAAAAAGACTTAGGGCACATTATGAACATTCATTTATCTTCTCTCCACCCATAGGAGTGAAGTTAACTATTATTCTTGTGTGACAGAGGGGGGGGGGGGGTCGTTGAAGCACAGAGCTTAGACTATCACAAGGCCACCGAGGGAGTTGGTGGAAGAACCTGACTGGGAACTCAGGAGAGTGTAGCTCTGCGGACTTGTCTCCTTCCACTACACAATACTGCCTCTCCTGAGGTGGGGGGTTTTCTCCAAGGAGAGGGCTTTTGGGAGAGGTGTAGCCATTTTTCTTGACATAATGACAACCACATGCTTGCTAATTGCCTTTTTCTTCTAACTCCGTTAAGGTGGGTGCAGGCTCCTTTGAAGGGGAACAAGACTAGTTTCCTCTGGCATTTCTCCTGATTTATGTCCCAGGAGCAACCTCCCCCAGGCAGGATGGGAAAGGCCACGTAACTGGAGAAGTGAAGCATTAAAAAAATACATATATGTATATATAGGATGTCAGACAAGACTTTTTTCTTTAAATCCTTGCCTTTGGCAGCCTGTTACAGGGTTTAAATCATACCTTTAAAATACAGATCGAGACACTAAAAGGCTCAGGGGCTCTATGAACTGAAGACTGGATAGAGGAGTTAGAGTCATTTTCTCAATTAGCTGAACATAAATCAGCAGTAATGAGGAGCTTTAGGAGAATTGGGCAGGTTTAGTGCCCCTGCTCCTTTCCTCTCCCAGAATCCCCCATCCTCCCCCACCCGCCAGCTCCCACCTGTTTGTTAGGCAGCGCGGTCAGTTATTTTATTGTTCCATTGCTACAAATCTGAGCGATGGGTTTTAATGTCACCAATCTAACTGCAGCACCTGGCATGTGTGTTTGGAGGGGAAGTATGTCCAAAATATTCTAACTGGGGAAAACATTTGTACTCAATAAGTAGAATGCAGTGCTTGTGTTTAACAAGGGAACAGAAAACCAGGCAGCCTCGAGGTGTTTTCCTCCTGTGTATGGGGAAAGACTCTGCATGAGTAGGAACTGGAAAAAGGATGTCAAGTTTCAGGAGGGACATAATTCGGTGTGACACCAGGCCTCTCTGCCTGCTCAGTATAGATCTCTTTCCTACAACTCTGCCTGCCACACACTTCTCGTTAAGGGAACAGGAGGAAGAGTGGGTTGGGTACCATGATAGCTGTGATGGGTTCGATCACAGAAACCCCCTTGGGATGTCACCTGATGTACTGAGACTACCTCTGGGCCTGTTTTCTCTGCCAGTTTGGGCCTCCAGAACCCTGCCTTGTTGAGCCAGACACACCAGTCTGCTCCAACACAGACCCAGGATCTGAACCACACACCCCAACGCTGAAGACTTAACTGAAAACTGCTTAAAAAGTGCTCCTGTCTCCAGCACCCAGACAGCCAGCTCCCCATGGGCTCAAAACCCCAAATGAATCCATTTTACTCTGTATAAAGCTTATACAGGTTAAACTCATAAATGGTCTGCCCTCTATAACACTGATAGAAAGATATGCACAGTTGTTTGGGTTAATTAACAAGCAAAAGTGATTTATTAAATATAAAAAGTAGGATTTAAGTGATTTCAAGTAATAACAGACAAAACAAAGTAAGTTACCAAGCAAAATAAAACAAAACACACAAGTCTAAGCCTAATACATTAAGAAACGGATTACAGATAAAAATCTCACCCTGAGATGTTCCATTAAGCTTCTTTCACAGACCAGACTCCTTCCTAGTCTGGACCCAATCCTTTCCCCCGGTACAGTTCTTGTTAGCTCCAGCTCTGGTGGCAACTAGGGGGTTTCTCATGATTGGAACCCACTTTGTTCTGTTCCACCTCCTTATATAGCTTTGGCACAAGGGGGAAACTTGTCGCTCTGGGTCCGCACCCCTCCTTCTAAATGGAAAAGCACCAGGTTTAAGATGGATTCCAGTACCAGGTGACATGGTCACATGTCCTGTGAGACCCCAAGTCTTCATTCTTCCTGGCCTGACTCACAGGAAGGCTTGCAAGTAAACAGAAGCACAAGGAGGGGAAGGTACTGTGAGCTGAGGTGCTTAGTGTAGCTTTCACTGAAAATGTCAAGGTCAGGGCAGGCTGCAAAAAGGAGATTAAATTCTCCCAAATCTGGTGGTTAACAGTAACTGGTTGGCAAGTCGAACTTCAAACTGTGCTTCTGATCCCCCACACTGGTTATCAAGAAGCTAAAAAAGAAATACCACAACTCCCTTTATTGCATTTCAGTTCCCTGGTCCCAATTAGCCCATAGGTCCAATACAGTGATAAGTTATTTAAAAACTCTGCACTATACAAAATATTCTTCTGACTCACATTACCAGGCCAATATTGGTTTGGATCTTACCCAAAATACCACACTGCCAGCCAATCCTTTAGTGTCTAAAACTAAAGCTTTATAATAAAAGAAAGAACAAGAAGAGTTGTTAAATGGTCAAGCAATCAATACAGCTAAAAGACTTCAAAATCCATATATCAGGTTCTTCACACCATTGGTGGGTTTGCTGGCTTGAAAGTCCCTCTGGAACATATCCACAGCTTGGATGGTCATTTAGTCCTTTGTTCAGAGCTTCAGTTCATAGAGAAGTTGTTCCAGAGGTAAGAAGCAGGAATGAAGACTAATTGGAGATGATGCAGCTGTCTCATATCCTTTGTCATGTGGCTTGTACTTCCTGTGTCCCAAACACAAGCATGTGGCATGGAAAAGCCTTAGAGTTCGGTCCATAGGCATGCCCCTATATACCTTGCTGACTCAAGGTGTATCCTCTGGCTCCTTTCAATGGGTTTATTGTACAGTTGATGACCCTTGATTGGCCATCGAACAGGCTAAGCAGTGCTCATGCCATCTGTCAGGGGTCATCACCCAGAAACACAGCACAAGTTTGGAAATACAGATACCATGCATATCTATAGCTCACAATACAATGGTGATAAACACGTAAACAAGATGATCATACCTGGCAAATCATAACAATTTCACTGACCTCTTACATGGCATGTTCGTCACAATTCATTGCAATTTTATAATATTGGTATTAATATAAATGGTCTCCCATATTCCACAGTGTCAGTGGTCCCACCCACAGTCAGAGGCACAGCCAGAGTAGAAGCCAAGTTTCTTGACTACCAGCATTTCTGTAATGACTAATAGAAGGCAGTGTTGCCTAGTGGATACAAAACACAACAAGGGCTGCAACAAACAAATTGGGGGATGGAAGATGAAGTAAAACAAAACTTCCCTTAACCTGCCATATAGTTCTTTCCCCACTGAACCTTGTATTGCTTTTGCTGCTCTTCTCTCTTTTTTTTTTAAAAGCAAGTTGCTCAGAGCTGAATCCATTACTTCAAATCAGGTATCACCAATAGGGGGCTATTTTATTACTGTGATTATCTTTATTTGTATTACCATAGTGCCTAGGAATCCCAGTTACAGCCCTCCCCATTGTGCTAGGGATTGTACAAATGACTTTGCTGCTTTTAGCTAGAAGACTATTGCTGTGCTCCATCTCACCATTTGCCTCTTCTGCAGCAGCATTCAATTATCGACTCACATGCAATTTATCTTCCCCGCTAACTTTTTCTAAGCCCCTTCTGTGTGGTGCTGCCTACCTAACGTTCCCCTATTCTGTGCTGTGTGTTTGAATTACTTTGTCTCTAGTTTTGCTTTCAGCCCGTTTCTCCAATGTAGCAAACCCAGACTGCATTTTTCTCTTATCCGCCAGAGCTTTTATGATCCCTCTGAGCTCCAAATCTGATATGGAAATGCTTCACTCCATCGTCCAAGTCATTTAATGATTATGATAAATAGTACTGGACCCAGAACAGATCCCTGAAGGAACAAACTTGATGACTTCTCCCAGCTTGATATTGGACCATTCATAATTTCTGTCTGGGTTCAATTTTTGTAGCCATCTGTGAATCCAGCCCTCTTTAGTCCTTTGCCAGTATGTCATTTGGGACTGCATCAGATATCTTACTTAAAAATGAGACACAATATTCACTGCATTTCCTTCATCCACTCATCTTGTTATCGTGTGCAAGAAAGACATGAAATACACGTGCCAATCTTAGCAATATTTTGAGTAACCTGCCAGCACTCAGCATAGCGTTAGATCTACGGATCGGTTAATCTAATCCAGGCATCCTACTCTTCAAAGTATCTTCCATGTGTTTTGTGAAAACAGGCTTGTCTGGGGCTGTCAACTTTCTCCATGCAGGGATGGGCTCCGGTTTCCAAAATACTGATCTGGATCCAGCTTTAAAAAAAAATAAAGCACCACATTTAAGGATTTTTGTTTAGCTCATGTTTGTGCTGGGTTTGCATGTACACATATCCATGATACTATTAACATCGCACAAGCTGTATCTCCCACACACCAAGATCCTCTCAGCACAGGAGGTTGAGCATGCAATATGTTTTGGTGGTTATCTTCACTGCAGGGAGAGGGATGCACACAGGCCCAGAGCTCTGTGTATAGAGATCTTGTTCATCTGCAGGGTTTTTATAACACTGTAGAACAGGTAAATCTTACCATTGTTTGAAGAGCTAGTCCAGGTTCCCAGCAGGGATTCCACTTTGCCTCCACTTGCTCCTTTTTTTTGCATCCCCCACTGCCCCATCCCCAGCTCCCAAATAACAGTTTTTCTGCTTTTCTCAGATCAAAATATTTAGCAACAGTGATTTTTCATCATAAAAAAAAAAAATCACATGATACCTTCTGCCTATCAGGGTGCCAGATGATGCTAAGCAAGGAAGGCAGATGCCAGCAAAGGTGGGAGTATTAGCAGAAACTAGCTTTTCCTGTAAGACTTGCTCAGGGATAGAGCTCTAGGAGTAGGGTTCCAAAGGATTGTTTTTTAGGGTTTGGGTAAGGGTTCCTGGGGGTGGGGCTTCCTGGCCCAAGGGTCAGAATAGTCTTTAGGGTTAAGGCAAAGGGCAGGGTGGGGTTCACAAGGGTTGGACTCTAGGGTTGGGGTTTGAAAGGGCAGGGCTCTGTGCCCAAGGATCAGGGTTAGGGTTTTCAAAGTGTAGGTGTTTGGGCTTGGGGGTTCAAAGGGCTCAGCTCCCCAGCCCAGGGGTCAGGTTAGTATTCCAAAGGGTAACCAAAAGATCAGGCTCTAGGGTCTTGATTAGGTTCCAACAGGTAGTGGTGTGGAGCACTAGGGGTTAGGTTTCCAATGGATAGTGTGACAAAGCTCTGTCCTTGCCTCTGTGAGTCCCACATTTCCTGGCAGATTTCACTAGCCTCAGAGGCTCACTGTGACCCTCCACATAGCCCTTCTCTCTCTAAAGGCAAGGCTCACAGCCTACTGAGCCATTTTCATCATAAGCCAGTGAGGGAGGTGAGGAGAAGCTATCCTCCCTTGCATAGTCTCTGTTGTCTCTCAGTGATTAATCAGGGGAAACAAAAGGGGGAAGCCCAGGCCCACCCTCTACTCCAGGCTCCAGCCCAGGGACCCTAATAGTATCAGCTATGGTAGCTGATCTTTTAGAAAAAGGACACATACATACAATTCCCTGGGCTACTTCCCCACAGCAGCTCCCACTTCCTCAAGCTCCACTTCACCCTTACCTCAGGCCCTCCATCCTTGTGCCTGATATGGTGTGTACTGCTCAGTCTCTCCAACAGCACAACTTCCTCCTACCACTCCTGACATGCACACCCACCTGACTAACTGGGAGATTTTTAACTAGTTTCAGCCAGCCCCTGACTGGTTTCAGGCATCCCAATCAACCTAGCTGTCACCACTGCTTTCTGGAAGGATCTTAATTGGCCCCAGGTGTCTTGATTAACCTGGAGCAACGGCCATTTTGTTACCATGGTAACAGGGATTTGTTTAGCCTGGGGCTAATATACCTGTTTCTCACTACTTTCCTATAGCCATCTGGTCTTGCCCTGTCACAGTAGATACATGGCTGGGAAGATGAACTAACAGGGCTATTTGAATCCTATTAACCAGGTTACAGCTTTGATAGATATCAAACAAATTATCTGATTTGTAACTTCTGCATTATTTCATCAGCTAGATAGCTGATAGGGTGTGTTTGAGAAATCATGCATTATTCAGCTAATAGAGTGGCTTCCAAACATGCGTGGAAGGGGAAGTGGCCTGCATGACTGAATGAGAATGGAAGTGTCTGCCAATCGCTCTACTACTACTAATTGGTGATGACAATTAGTAAATACTTCATATTGCAGTAGCACCCAGGAGTCCCAGTCATGGCCCAGGACCCCACTGTGCAAGCTGCTGTACAACTCAGAACAAAAAGATGGTCCCTACCCCAAGTAACTTCCAATATAAGACAACGGTAGGTAGAGACCAATGGAGGAGCCCAAGGAAATCTATTAAGGTGTGGTCCACTGTATTTCTGAGAATGGTGGGTCCAGTATGTTTGACAAAAAACTTGCTCTATATAAGATTAATTCTATTAACTAATTCATTTAACAGGCATCAAAGAAATAGACTTAAGATCTCCCAAGTTCCCATCCCAGGCCTGTCACTGATTCAATTTATCTCCTTAGTCAGGTACCTTAACGTCTTTGGTCTTAGCTGTAAAATAAGGGTACCAGTTACTTACCAACCTCCTGCTATGTGTACAGTGCTTTGAAAATGTTCCCTGAAACTTCCATGGCACATGTCGCCTTTGCATCACCAAGTGCTTTACAAAGGTATTAAGTATTATTAGCCTCACAACACCCCTATTTTCTATAAATGGGAAAACTGAGGCACAGAGTGCTTAAAGTGCACTTTCCTGCTCCAGAAAGGAATTATGTGGACATGGTTCTTCCTTACTCAACATATAAGTTCCCGTGTATTTTTAGTCATATCTACTTAATTTATTACCCTGTTTCCCCGAAAATAAGACATCCTCCGAAAATAAGGCCTACTTACAGTTTTGCCTCTCGTTGTAATATAAGGCATCCCCCCGATAATAAGACCTCCCCGATAATAAGGCATCCACCGATAATAAGGCATTTTTCATTTCTGAAAAATAAGACATCCCCTGAAAATAAGACCTAGCGCATCTTTGGGAGCAAAAATTAATATAAGACACTGTCTTATTTTCGGGGAAACAGGGTATCTGTATCCTTTTAGCGCCTAAAGGCCCCAGTTGAGATAAGTGCTGTACACTTTCCTGCCCCCAAAAACTTTCAGGACAGACAAAAGGTGGGGAAAGGAAACTAGATATGGACAGGAAGTGATTTGCCCAAGAAGAGACACAGGCCAGTGGCAGAACCAGGAATAGAACCCTGCTGCCCTTATCCACTAGACTGTCCTGCCTTTCAAACTCCAGTTTTACAACTGTGCAGTAGCCATTGTGGGATTACCTTTTTTTCATGGGTTGACTATAGATATCTGAGGCTTATGAGCTCTACTGACATATAGAAGGTTGTCTACATGAATATTGGGGACATTTCTTCATCTCTTATTTATTTCAGATGGTTGGAATGTTAGAAGTAGTCACAGGACTATGTTAATCATGGAAAATAAAACTATAATGATTTATGTGACACTCTAACTGAAGTTTCTGAACGTTTAACAGACACTATAACTAAAACCAGGAATTCCTAAAAGCACAGTGGCCAAATAGAAAAATGGAAAAGACTGATTTTTTTAAAAAGGCACTGAAAATATCAGAGATGGCTTATCCCATCCTGCTATGAACTGGGATATCAGAAACTGTGATCTGGGTTGGTCTTTTGGGGATTTTGGTGAAATAAGGTCAGGTTTTCTAAACCTATCATCATTTTTGTTGCTCTCTGGACTTCCACCAATGTGTCCACATCTTTCCTAAAGTGTGATGATCAGAATTGGAAGATTGCCCCAGCTGAGGTCTCACCACTGCCAAGTAGAGCGGGACAGTTACCTCCTATGTCTTGCATAAGACTCTCCTGTTACTACACCCCAGAATTGTTAGCATTTTTTGCAGCTGTATCACATTGTTGACTTCTATTCAATTTGTGATCCACTATAACCTCCAGATCGTTCTCAGCAGCACTGACACTAGTCAGTTGTACATTTGATTTTTTTTCCTTCCTAAGTAAAGTACTTTGCACTTGTTTTTCTTGAATTTTATCTGGTTGAATTCAGACCAACTGTCCAATTTGTCAAAGTTGTTTTGCTTTCTAATCCTGTCCTCCAAAGTGCTTGCAACCCCTTGCAGCTTGGTGTCATCTGCAAATTTTATAAGCATACTCTCCACTCCATTATCCAAGTCTTTAATTAAAATATTGAACAATACCAGACCCAGGCCTGTCCCCATGGGTCCCTACTAGGTACACCCTTCCAGTTTGACGGCGAACCATTGACAACTACGCTTTGAGTACGGTCTTTCAACTAGTTGTTTACCCTCCCTTTATTAATTTCATCTAGCTCACATTTCTCTAACTTGTTTATGAGAATGTCATGTTGGGACTGTGTCAAAAGCCTTACTAAAATCAAGATATATCATGTCTACTGCTTCCCTCCATTCACTAGGCCAGACAAAGAAGGAAATTAGGTTGGTTTGGCATGATTTGTCCTTGTTGTTGACAAATGCTGGCTATTCTTTATAACCCTATTATCCTCCAGGTGCTTACAAACCGATTGTTTGTTTGATCTGTCCCTGTGGAGAGGTGCTCCAGTGGGAACAGAGTTAGGCCACTGCTGACTGCTTTCAACTATCCCACCTTATTCTCAGATATGTCCATGAGAAATGTGTCTTACCAGCCATCATAAATGATCCAATCTCACTTGAGTCTCTTGGAGTTGAAGGCACAGTAACCACAAATTGAGACAAGACATATTTACTGGCTGAGGTTCTCTGCCCTGTTTCATTCAGGACTCAGACTAGATGGTCATAATGGTCTCTTCTGGCCTTAATCTGTGGCGCTATTTCAGCTTATTTGAAACAAAAATGACCACAGTCACCCTTCAGCAGGTGACTTCCACATCCACAGCAGCAGATGGACAAGTCAATAACTCAACTCAAACCTTTCTGCTGAAAACCTCTGGTGACAACTTCCTCCTTTCATCTTTTATCCAGCTGTCCCTTCTCCCTCCCAACAATTGCTCAGAAATTTTCTGGATCAATCCAACTTGCATTTCAGACTTCTGATTGGTGCTCCATTGACCAGAGATGGAATCACTGATAGCTGATAGCCCAGCTGGCCCCTACTAGAGAGAGCATGAGAGAATACATGAGGTGGGGTGGCAAGAAGGATTGTGTTAGCACTCACTTGAGTTAGCTGCATTACACGCATGTCAAAGGCAT